TGACTTTTGGCTTATTAATTTTTCAAGAAGCCAATGCAAAGTGTGCATGAGAAATTACAAATGCAAAACTGAAGACTCTCTGCAGTCATTTATTTTGATGGTGGAGTTGCTTTAAAACGATTGTTGATACTTCAAACTGATTTATCAGTCTGGATATCATTTTTATAAACAGATTATTCTATTTAATTTACGGTTGTGGTGCTAAATTCTTCATTGGGTTAGACAAAAAGGGAAATTGTTCAGATATGGCGTTAACTCCAGAGCGGACTTGTTGAGAGAAAACCGAAGAAATGGCGACATCGTGTGGACACATTCTGAACTGTAGAATACAATATATATAAGTAAAAGTTTTTTTTTTTGTGTAATTCTAAGAAGGAAATAAAAGTATGTGCATGTTTTAAATTTGCTGTTATTGCTTAAACAAGTCCATCAGAGATTTAGCTTAAAAAGAGCGTTTGCTGTTTCTTTTTCCTTTAACTTGGGACATATTTTTGATTTATGTTTTCTTATTTCCCAGGGACTCCGTCTGACACTCAGCAGTAAACCTCTCACTGCAGGAAGTGCTTTTTTTTAAAAACATAAACACCAAGAAGAAAAATATTTACTTTGTTATCAGATCAAATGTTTCCACATAAATATAACAGATGTTATTAATATGTTTTTTTTATTTTTGGCCTGCTCCTTTCCTGAAGATTCTCACCAGCAAGCAAACTCTCACAAAAGATTTAGTAATTGTTTTACGCCAGGTGCCCTCTCTGATGCAACCGTGGATCAAAATGAATCCTCAGGACTAAAACACTAGAAAGTTCACGTCACATTGCAGCCATTTTAAAAACACACACGTCACAAAATATAATAGTATTAGTTTAAATGTTTTAAAAGTTCAAGATTTTTGTTTTCTGAACTATTAGCAAACTTTTTTTTAATTGCTGAAATTTAAACAGAAGTATAGGCTTCTGTTTCCTGGAATCGGAGACTTTTATTTTTTAGGGCGTTTCAGAAGAAACGTTTAATTTTCTGAAAATTTACAGGAACAAATTTATTGCTGAAATTTTAGCACAGTTATTTCAGTTGACGCTTTAGTAGAAATGTTTCATTGTAGGTATATTCATAATGGAAATGTTAAATGGTTAAATGTTTTTAAAGAGATTGATTTCAGCGTAAAATAGTTAAAGAGTTTGATCAAAACCTTGAGTTCAAGCATGAAATAACAGGAAGCTTAAAAATCCATCAAAACATAGTTTAATCTTTTAATTTAATTAAAATGTGTCAACTAAAACTATCCAGTATGAAGCATAAAACAAAAGCATAAAACTTATTTAAAACTGAATGCAAATTACTTTAAGTAAAAAACATTATAAACCTAATTAAAAAAAACAAACATGAAGAAATATTTACAGCAAATAAAATATTACAACTCAGCACAAAGCAGGAGCAGTAAAGTAAAGTGTGGAAACTTGTGTGAACCAAAAAAAAAATATATATATATCATAATTTTTTACATTTGATACAAAGTGACTGTGGATCACCTTCATTTGGGATGATGGGACACATTTTGCAGTTGGTAAAGCTGCCGCCTCTCAGTGAGAAGGTTGCTGAATCGAATCCCGCCGAGGGGCCTTACTGGGTGGACTCTGCATGTTCTCTCCGTGCATGCGTGGGAAACATGCACGCTAGGCTGATTGGTGACACTAAATTGTCCCTAGGTGAATGGTTGCTTGTCTCTGTGTCCCTGTGATGGACTGGAGGACTGGAGACAGTGGCGCCGGAACTGTGGGGCCACATCTGGCCCAAATGCAGTATTTATAGCATCTGTGGGCCACCTCTGACTCTGACCTGTCCAGACTGGACTGCACTTTACCGCAGTCACGCCAGTTATGGGCCATTGAAAAACAAGAGACCTCGGGCCCAAGTCTGTTTATGGGTCCTGGCCAAACGCTCACTAGGGGATGAATAGACTAGTCGACTAGTCGGCTCTAGGACATCTTGTGAGT